AAAGGGTAGGGGTGGTGGGAGGAGATGGGGAAAGGAAAGAATGGAAAGGAAAAATTATGAGAAAAGAAAAAAAAATGGAAACAAAGTCTATGTAAATAGGAAAGGGTGGAGGGGTGAAGGGTGCACAGGTAATGGGGAAAAAATAAGAACCCAGATGCATCATGTACAGGTACAAGCACCCAATGATAAATGTAAATGTATTGTATACCTAAAATGCATGAATAAAAGAACTTAAGCAAAAAAATAAAAAATAGAAATAAAAAATAAATTGTCTGTGTTCAGATGACACAATCTTACAATAAAGAAAACCCTAAAGACTCCACCACAAAACTGCTATAGTATTAAATGAATTTAGTAAACTTACAGTACAAAAAAATGTAAAAAATAATAGTATTTCCATATGCTAAGAACAGATTAAAAATTCTAAATATTTACAAAATACTTTCACAATAGAATAAACAAAACTTAGGAACAACTTTAAGCAAGGAAATGAAAGGTTTATGTTCTCAAAATTGCAAATACTGATTAAAAAATTGAAGATGACACAGTTAAATGCAAATATATTCCATATCTGTGATCAGAAATATCAATATTTTCAGAGTCAATATTACCCAAAATGATATGTAAATTCACTATAATCCCTATTAAGATTCCAATGGTAATTTTCACAGAAATAGAAAACATAATCCAAAAATTCATATAACAATACATTAGACCCCAATTAGCTAAAACAGTCATTAGCAAAAATCCAGCAGGACATATTATACTACTGGATTTAAAATTATATGACAAAGTTATGGTAATCAATACGGTATCATATTGGCATAAAGACACATAGAGCAATGAAATGTATTAGCAAGACCAGAAATGAACCCACACATGTACAGTCAACAAATCTTTGATGATGTCATCAAAAATATGATGTAGGGGAAAAATATTCTTTGCAATAAATCATGTTTGGAAAATTAGATATCCAGATGCAAAAAAATTAAATTGTATCCTTATTTTACATCAGCTACAAAAATCAACCCAAAATGGATTAAAGACAAACATAAGACCTAAATAAAACTGTAAAATGCTTAGAAGAAATGTATGAGGCAAGCTTTATTGTAATGCCCTTCGCAGTTGTTCATATATATATATATACCCCAAAAACACAAGCAACAAAAGAAAAAAAAAGTCAGACAACATCAAAGTTTCTGTACAACCATAAGAAAACAAACAAAAAGAAAAAGGAGAAAATAGTTACAGAAAATACAATAAGGGGTTAATATCCCAAATATGTAAGGAAGTCATATAAGTCAATGACAATAAAAGAGTCCATTAAAAAAAATGGGGAGGGACTGGAGGTTTAGCTTGGAGAGCACTTGACTAGCATGCATAAGGGCTTGGTTTGGGCCTGGCACCACAAGAAAGAGAGAAAGAAAGGGGGGTGGGAAGAAGGGGAAGGGAGGGGAGAGAACAGAAAAGAGGGAAGGGGGAAGGAAGAACATAGGAAGAAAGGAAGGAAAGAAAGATGGAAGGAAGGAGAGAGTAGGGGAGAACGGGAGGGAGGAAGAAAGAGAAGGACCTGAGCAGACTTTTCTCCAAAGACAATATACAGATGGCTATCAGGTATATAAATAAAAGTCTAACATTACTAATCACCAGGGAAATATGACTTGAAACCACAACACGATATCATCCAATAGCTTTTAAGATGCTATTTATCAAAAAGTCAAAAGACAACAAGTGTTGGCAAAGATAAGGAAAAAAAGAGAGTGTAAAATGATACAGGCTGGAAAATCCTCAGAAGATTACAATCCAGCAATCTCATTTCAGGGTATGTACAAGAAGGAAATAGAATCCATATTCAAAAAGAGATGCCTGCACTCCAGTGTCATTGCAGCATTATTCACAGACCTAAGATATGGAAACAAGCTAAGTATCTATCAACAGAAGAATGGTTAAAGAAAATCTGTTACATATACATACATACAACGGAAAAGAAAAATGTCGGCCTTGAAAAAAGGAGATTTTGCTTTTGTGACAACCTGAATGAACCTAGGGGACATTATGTTAAATGAAACAAGTCTGACAGGGAAAGACAAATGCTGCATAATCTCCCTTATACATGGAATCTGAAAAGTCAAAACTATAGAAGCAGAGAATAGAATGTTATTTTCCAGGGGTAGGGCCCTGGGGAATTGGGAAGGTGTAGATCAAAGGGTATAAAAGCACACTTACAAGATGTGTAAGTTCTGGTCAGCTAATGTAAGGGATGGTCACTATAGTTAATAGAAATATATTGGAAATGTGAACTTTTCTAGGAAAAGTAGGTCTTAAATATTCCCACCATACATTAAGAAGGTAACATGTGAAGAAATGGATATGCTTATTAGCTTAATTATATTGATCATTATAATTACCTCACGATGTATGTACATATCAAAGCATGTATTGTACCACTTGAATATATATAATTTTTGCCAATTATGACACAGTAAAAAGTTCAAATAATATTTTAGTTTTGGCAGATAAACAACATATATTACTTAAACATTTAAGAAGATATATTATTTTAGATATATTTCTTCTCTTTATGTTATCATGAAAATTAAAAGCAAATTAAAGTTTACACATATTTAATATCCACATGGACTTTAAGGCTTTAGCTTAGTTCATATGTTAAATGGTGACACACATTACAGGGACAGGTGGTAGTTTCTCAATATGGCAAAATTGAAAATTGTACACACTCAGTTGTTTGTTTACAGATTGTTCCAATGCACTGTAGTTTATCTGTTCCTAGTAGTGATTCACAGATTGCATGATATTTTTGCTATTTTACCACAACATAGATAAATGTTTTTTTTAAGATTCTTGTGAAAACAAAACAAGAAATAAAAAGCCACAGCTTGACATCATAATAACAATTGAAAAAAAGGGGAGCTGATGAGAAAAAGGCATGCTTATTTGAAACATGGCTCTAACAGCCACTACTCTAAATGACAAATCTTGCTTCAAGTGTACAGTGAGTTTTGTGATATTAGCTAATGAGAGTATAAAGGCATTACAATTAGAAGGAATTTAACTTCTAAGTGTGCACAACATTTATAATAATAGCATGCCTCAGTGAAGAAAAAGGTTTCCTGTGCTAGGAAGAATAAAACAAAATGGTATAATCTTAAATACGTGATCTATTTAATCTTTATATCACCTTTTTTCATTTATATTTTTGGACATTATTCCATCTGAGGCTGAACTACTCTTTACAGAATGGCCAACTTTCACAGGTCAAAAATTCAAACATTAGCATTTTAATATTTTTCTACTTATATATAAAAGTTGTATAAAAAGTAGGTAACTATGCATCTATTGGGGGAATTTCTAGAAGCTTTTTGATAGCTAGAATAACTGATCAACAAAACACTGTATCACGTTAAACCAGAAGAAGTAACCGACAGCACTGTGTCATGTTAAACCAGAAGGATTCGCTGACACCAAGTGTTGAATGGAGTCTTAAGGAATGAGAAAGCTCTCAGATAATGGAGAATTTTTCAAAGACATAGAAGAAGGGTCTGGGAGCAGTGCAGGGCAACCAGTGTGAAAGATCTGCATTAGTTAAGATGGGAAGGCATCAAAGTTCGTGTTCACATAGGGAAAAAGTACTAATCCCCTTGGCCGAAATGTGAAACAGCAGTTCCCAACTTTTTGGCACCAGGAACCAGTTCTGTGGCAGACAATTTTTCCACATTGTAATATACACAATGAAATGGCCAGGGATTTAGCTCAGTGGCACTGGCACCGTGCCTGCCTCACAAGCGCAAGGTCCTGAGTTTGATCACCAATACCTGAAGAAAAATCACCTATATATAGATAGATAGATACAATGCAATAATACAACTCACTATATTGCAGAATTAGTGGGGACCCTGAGCTCCCCTGAGTTTTCCTGAAACTAGAGAGTTCCATCTAGGGATGAAGGGAGACAGTCTACAGTAGGATTTGCTCTCCTATGAGAATCTAATGCCACCTCTGATCTGACAGGAGGCAGAGCTCAGGTGGCAATTCAAGCAGTGGGGCATGACCCTCATATAGATGAAGCTTGCTTATCAATGGCCACCAGGACAAGAGCAAGTGCTAAAGAAACAACTCTACGGTACTACCTATGACCTTGAAAAACACATCCTCCATGCTGTATGCCACTGGTGTATATTTTTGTCATTGATGTAGAGATAAAGTTTAGAAGGTATCCTAGAGATATCATCACCCACTTTTTGGAACAAAGAATGAGAAAACATTTAAAGGGAGGCAGGAATCTTCTGAGTGTCTAAACATCAGTGTTGTCTTCACTACCATTCACACACATACATGCACAAAGTTTTGTGGTAATGTGCATTTCACAATATCCTCTAAAAACTACTAAATCATGCACTGATCAGGCCAACTAATTTTGGCCACTTATATATTATTCACTCAGTTAAGAAACAAAGTGATTACATAGAACTTGCTTGTTATGCAACACATTTAGTGAAAAGGCAAAATTTTATCCCTAGTTGATTTTTTTCCTTAATACTTTTATGTGTCTGGAGTACTTTATGGTTTCTAATTAGAAAGCCTAGGTAAATAATTTCTGTGCTTTCTAAATTCCTCATGAAAAACACTGATGAATTATTATTATTTTTTTAGAATAACAAAAATATTTTACTAAAACATAAGATTTACAGAAGTTTCCAGACAAGCTACACAAAATGGTCACAAGATTTTTTTGAAGGGGGAAATCTACACTTGACAGCAAAGTCACAATGTTATTACTGAGGGCTGTGACGTTTGTTAATGTTCCCATTTTGGTTCAATCAGCTTGTCCATCTATATCATCTAAATAAAGTTAGACTTGGCTAGAGAGCATATTCTAGAGAATTGGTTAGCTGCTTTTTAACCAATGCAATTAGATCACCATAAAAGGGGGGGGGGAAGGAGTCCATAAAATTTTGAAACTGCTTTTCCCCTCAAAAAATAAAATAAATAATACCCATACCCCTGCAGCTAACCCTGACAACTACCTTCATTCACAGTGCTTTATACTTAAACCATGATGGGGAAAATGAATAAAAGCAGAGGGCCACTGCTTTTAAACATTTCGCGACAATCCTGATGATACTTTTAGCCTCTGCTCATGCTGTATAACAGTGAATCAGGACAAGACATAGATTTTCTAATGTGCATTTAATCACCAAAGGACTGAAAATGTCCGGGCTTTTATTCTGTAATGTTTCTAAGACTGTGCCCATTAAATGCAAACAAAAAAGGAAGAAGTCTTGGCAGAACAGGAGAAGTGACACAAACTTGATGATCGGATCGACTTAAATATTATTCATGGCGTACAGCCTAGTCCATGCTCTAGCTGTTTCTATGGCTTGGGCTTCATTGGTCTTCCACTGCTCTGCTACATAGTTTGCTAATGGGTCGTCTGGATTAGGAGCACTTAACAAAGCCTGGATCGAGAGCAGAACTGTGCAGATCTGCAGTGCTGGGAACCATTTATCTTTCAAAATATCTAAACATATTCTTCCCAACTTGTCTACATTAGGATGATAAATTTTGGTCATGAAACGTACTTTAGGTGCTGTCATTGGGTATTCTTCTGGAAGAAATAGCTCAAGTTTAAAAGTCCCTCCCTCGAAGGGGGAATCCTGGGGGCCAGCAATGACCACATGAAAATAACGAGCATTGCTCTCATCTGGTTCCCCTTTAATGTCAGGAACTGGTTCTGCCAGCAAACGCTGAGTTTCCTCGTGTCATTTCCCAATAACAAGAAACAGGAGTGTCACATTGGTCAAGATCCAAGTTCTGCCTCTTGCCAGTTTAAGACCTTGATGATTCTGTGGGGCAGCCCGGCCATCTTGTCAGATCCCATCTTCGGCCTCTGGTCAAGTCAACACTGATGAATTATTGAGCGATCTAGCCCAGGTCCCTCATGTTAACCTTGCTTGAGGTGAGTCCAAATGCTCTATGTTCCTCTAATCACAAACCACTAATCTCCTAGTGTTAGCTCACAGCATGATTCATAAGAACACAGGGGAATTAACCAGCCTCTCCAGGGCTCTCAGGAAACTTAGCCCTTCACCTCAAGAGGCCCTGCCCTCTGCATTATTGTGAGCCTCATGCTTTCCTAGGCATGTTTGTACAGAAGGCACAGTCACTTGCCCAGCATCTACAGAGTTCAGATTGCACAGTGTAACTCAGAAAAGAAGCCAGAAAAACTGACACATTGCCATTGCCACTTTCAATACCTTGCATGATATATTCACTCCTGTAACCCCCACACAGGCTCTTCTCTTTGTGAGAAAAGTATTGTGATTATTATTCTTCTCATCTCATTTTTACAAGTAGGAGACCTAAGAGGCCAGAGAAGCCAAGGATCATTCTTTTCCCTTTTGCATATCAAGAATCTTAAATAACACCATGTGGCAAGAAATTGGCAGAGCTGGAACTTACATCCATAGGAGTAGGATGCAGGTATGTTCCATATCTGTTTGATTCCAGGATCCAGGCTGAAGGAACTGCTCCCATCTCAGATATGGCAGGCTGGGGCCAAAACAGGACAGCAGTCATAGAATCATGTGTTGGTGCTTGAAGATCCATCTAGGATATGACATATTCAGTTCTTCTGCTCACCTTCCACCAACAAATGTGAGTGCGAGTAAACAGATGATGTCAGGGGAAATAGAAATTACCTTCCATAAGAGGGCCTCAAGAAGGGGTTCTGCAAATAGGCCCTTCTTAGAGAGCAGTGACAAATAAATAACTAAAATGAAGCTATAGGTACAGTTTCTATGTAATAGCAATACATAGAAAATACATTAAAAAGTAAAAATAGGAAATACATAGAAAATTTCAAGTGAAAGTATTCTATAAAGCTTGGAAAGTGAGTTAAGTAGTTAATATCTTGAAGAAATATTCATGACAGATATTTTTCCACAATAAGTGCCCTTCTTGCTCACTAAAATGCAACTCCATGAAGGGTGAGATTCATCATTTTTTGCTCACTAACATACTTTAACAACTTTCAACAAACTAGAGAAGTCATGGTTACTGAATTAATGAATAAATGTGTTTTCCTAATCTTTTAGATCAGACCCTGTTGTATAAAATGTTGCTAGATCAGCTTGTTTACTCTTGTGGTTTGGATCTTAAATGTCCCCAAAAGCTCCTGTAGTGAAGGTTTGGTCCCCAGCTGCTGGAGCTATTGGAAGGTAGTGAGGTAGGGCCTTGTTGGAGGATGTAGTTCATTGGCGTGTCCTCTTGAAGCGTGAATTGGGACCCTGGCACCTTTCTCCTCTCTCTTTGCTTCTGGTCACCATGATAAGGGGCAGTTTTCCACTTCCGTGTGATTCTGCCGTGATATTCTTTCTCCCTCACTGCAGGCCCCACAAGCCATTGATCCAAGCAACCACAGATGGAAACCTCTAAAATTATGAGCTAAAATAACATTTCCTCCTTTTAAGTTGTTTATCTCAGGTGCTTTGTCACTGCAACACAAAGCTAAAACAATTCTATTTGGAAGTATTTAATAATTGGAAAGTTTTGTCCATTGTCAGAATAAACTAATCACACAGAAGGCTCTCAACAAAAGACTGTTGAATGAATAAATGAGGGAATAATTGGATACATTGTTGTGATTAGTGATTTATTTGAATTTTATTTATTATAATTATATATCTACATAAATGATACATATATACAATTTGGATTAATTTCTACTATTGTATTTTGATTTTTACTTGACTTGTGTTTCTGTGTTTTTTTCATTATTTTGATTGAAATATTATTTTATTATTAGTTTTTCCTATTTCGGGTTCTTTAAAATCTAAATATTTCTTTACTTCTTGACATTGTTTTTAAATTTTTCCCTACAAAATAAGTTAACAAAGTATACATTTAATTATATCTTTCCTAATCTACCACAATACAAAAAAATAAATTCATCCCCTTTTGTAAATTTTAAAGATTTTTGTTTAACATTTTAACTCCATTTGTTTTTCAAGCCTGTCGGGAGCCATTGTACAAATTTTGGGGAAAAATCATTTCACAATTAAATTATAATTAGGCCTAGTCTTCCTGCCTACAGGCCAAGTGTGACATGCCAGAAACACAACTCTATTTTTGCCTCAGGTCACAGCTGAAACCTCAATGGTCCCGTGAAGCTGTGACATTCAAGGGCAAAATTACATCAGCTGAAGACATCCTGGTTCCTTAAGAACCGACAGCAAGAAAAAAGTTTCACCTGGGGAGGGACAAATTCCTTATCATCTTAATTCATTCTACCCACTGTTGTAAGAACCTCTTTGCTCATCTTATTATCCTAATCAACATAAGATTCTCATCAACCTAAGCTTCTCATCAGCACAAGATTCTAATGGTCATAGGATTGCCACCATTCTCTGAGACACCTGATACTTCCTCCAATTATAAGATCGTTGTCAATTTAGGATTATCACTGGCTTCTGAGTCATCTGTTACTCCCTATAAACCCAATACACAGTGGCAAGCTTGGGGTGCTGTCTTTGCTCCCCAGAGCAGCACTGATCAGGCCCAGAACCCAGCTTCTTTTCTAAGTCTCATTTCCTGTATTTATTCTTTAATTCACCTTGTGCTGTCATGGCTCACAGGAGACCAGGACTCACTGAAGGGATTCTGATAATGTCCCTTTTCCTGTTCCCTACACATTTAATTATCTTTCCTAATTTATCACAAAACAAAAAAAAGTTCATTTCCTTTCATATAATTTTAAAGATTTTTATTTAACATTTTAATTCCAATTTGTTTTTTAAGACAACATTAATTACTCTGATTTCTGTTTTATGTAATCCATAAACAAGTTAGAGTAGTCATGGCTACTGAATTCGTGAGTAAATGCATTTTCCTAATCTTTTAAATCAGTCTCTGCTGTATAATATGTTGTTAGATTAGCTTGATAACTCTTGTGTTTTGCATCTTAAATGTCTCCTAAAAGTTCCTGTTTTGAAGGTTTGGTCCCCAACTGGTGGAGCTGTCGGGAGGTGGTAGGGTAGGACCTTGACGTAGATCTGCTCACATGCTTACAGATTCTTTTCACACCATTCTTGGTTCCTTCTCAAGCCTTCTTTCTTCTAGTTTTCTTCTTCCTGAGTTATAAGCTCCAGGTGACAATTTGTTAGTGATAGGTTTTTGTTCATTTTAAATGCCTTCATTTCACTTTCACTCTGAAATAATCATATTGCTGGGTATGAAATATTACAGTAGTAGTTATTTCTCCTCTACTTTTGAAGAGCTTTCCTGTCTGTCTTCTGGCTCTCACAGAGAAAAGTGGGGCTGAACCGTCATCCCTTTTTAACAATCTGACATTCCTCTCAAGTTACCTTTAAGACTTTTATCTTTATCTTTGATGTATAGCAGTTTAACTACAAAGTATCCAAGCTTGAGTTTCTTTTCCATCAGGCTGGGTACCTAAATTTGACAATTTGGGAATTCCATCATCAATTCTTTTTGAAGAATATTTTCTCCCTATGTCTTCTAGTACCTTTTATTCTCTGAAACAATTAGATAAGGTTAGCCTTCTTCATTCTACCCATTTCCTTCTACTTCGCCTTGTATTTTATACCTCTCCATTTCTCCATTCTGTACTCTTGTGATCTCTTCCTGTCAATTGCTTGCCCTGATTCCTCAAGCTGTCTAATTACTGTTATTTTCATTGCTTGAGTCATTTTTATTTCATTTCAATGCTCATGTCTTCTTCTGTGTATTCTTTTAAAACTTTTGTAGCAATTCAGTGTGTTCTTCTGAAACGTGCCTGAAATGCTATTGGCAGTGTATTATTCCTGTTTCATGTCTCTCAATTTTTATTATGTATGTAATAATTCCAAATCTGCAGCTCCACAGAGTCTAACTGGGGCATGCTTTCTGATGACTCACATTCAGGGGGCAGCATGTCCTCCTTGTTCTACAATTTTTGATTGTGAGGTCATCTCCTGAGAGAGTTTCTCAACAAGAGTTACTGGTGGTCTGGATTCCAGGCATGTAGGTACCCAAGACAACTATCAACCCCAAATGACTTTACTTCATTTCCTAACTTTTGTTCTCCAGACTACAAAAGTAGAGTAATACAAAAGTCAAATTTAAATCCAAAACACAAGTGAATTAGGCCTTCAGGAACCTTTCTCCATTCCCACAGAGAGACAATCTACCTTAATGTTTTTTTGCTGGCAAACAGAATATTTTCTCTCCAAGCCCTTGAGGGGTCATGGCTTTATTTAAGAAGTCTCAGTTCCAGTTCTCAATTTCTACTCTTTTTCTCAGTCTATGACTCTGTCATCAGACAGGCATGGTAGGCTTCCCTTTACTGCTAGGATCCTTGTAGCAGATGGAGCACATTGGACCTCCCTCTGGTGGTCCTGGCCAGTGCTCTGTTATCATATTTTTATTTCTCTGACTTCCACTAGGAATAAAAGGCAGATCAGCCTTTTTCTGGGGCTTCATTATTTTCAGTAATATTTACTTCCATTTAGGTTCTTGCCTACATTTTGTCACCCACAGAGCTTAAGCAGAAGCCATGCATTAAGTATTTGGCTCATTTATTCCCCTTCCTTTTCATTTTCTTCTTTTTCCTCCTCCTCCTCCTCCTCTTCCTCCACCTCTTCTTTTACTTTTTCTCCTCCTATTCCTCCGTCTCCTTCTCTCTCTCTCCCTCCCCTTCTCCCTCTCCTTCTCCTTCTCCCTCTCCTTCTTCTCTTCTCCTTCTCCTTCTCCTTCTTCCTCTCCTTTTGTTAATGTATATTCTGTGGTCTAGGAGGAGGAAAAGAAAGGTGGCTGAAACCTATTAACTACATCTGTTTCATTCTTTAACAGCTCTGAAAAATAAGTATGAATTTTTTTCTGTAGTTCTTTTATTGGTACATTTTAGGTATACAATCATT